TCAGGTGAATATTTTATGTCCCAATACATATTTCTTATCCAACTAGTTATGGTATTATTTTTTACACAACTGATTTCAGCTATACTAAACCCCATTCAACTTGGCAACCATGCATTTCCTCACCATGGGATTTTGTTATCTATTAACTCATGACAAGAGTCACCATAGTAACAAATTTTCCATAACTGATTTCAGCTAAAAAAAATTGAACCTAAATTTGATTGACAGAGAATGAACAATGATGACAATACAGTACTTGGCATGTATGATTCATTTCTATGGTTATTCTCAAAGTTTTTCCTGCACTGTTTCCATACAAGTTGATTTCAAAGAAGTGTTATAACAATTATTTTACCTTCCATTTTTTTGGTATTCTCTTCACTTTCCAATGGGTTTAATCACATTATTTTTTTTTGCCATTTTCAAAGGCTTCATGCTGGGTTTATAAATTCAATTAAACTAACAGTTAGGAATTAACAATTAACAGTCAACAATTAATTATCATGAGGGTGTTTATACATATCTGATAATAATTACAAATTAGATGTGAAATGTCCTTTGATTGTAGATCAATATGATGTTAAAAAGTAATTTTGGTCTCCACAATTCATGAATCCATAAAAAATACTCCAATTGAATAATACCACACTCCACTTGAACAATAACAAATCCCATCTTCATGTTCTGTGTCCAGAATTTCCTAATTCTTAGTTGTTCAGTTGAAAGTTGGCCAACTTTGTAATTCATAATTCTTAATTTAATTGACAGATGTAAATGTATAAACCCTCATATATGTTTCTATGTATGTATGTATTCAACTTTTCAAGTACATTGATGTTAGTTTAATTCTTAGTTTAGTTGAATCTATAAACCCAGCATCAGCACTGGTATAATCAGAAATTATAAATTGTCTTATTTCTTTTTACTGTGCCATTTGAGGTGCCATTTTTTCAGTTAAAAACTTCCCCTATGTTGGAAGAAAGCTCATCATATGATGTGGGTCTATGATAGAGATGGTGAATTTTTGGGTGTCAGTCTACAGGAAACAACATTGAGGGCTTGACTTGCCAATCTGTGAATATTACAGATGTGAATCAAATAGTTAGGTAGAAGTTTAGTTTCACAAAACTCAACAAGCAGTTCACATTCTTTATGGAGATATGGGAGATATCCAAGAAAATATTAACTATGATTTTCCCAGGGACCTCACTGGACTAAATGAAACAAATATGATTAGATTAATTAGGGATTAACTCAAGTAATTAGCTATATCCTGGCCTATATATGAAAATACACAAGTTTCAAGAAAATCAGATAAGGCATTTCAAAAGACATTCTAACAGTTTCACTTTCAATGCCTTGTACTGGGAAAACGTATTTTCTGGGCATATGGCTCAAGAACTTGTGATAGATAGTGAGATAGTAAACATTTTCACATTCTCTATTTGAAATTTCATTATACTTACCTACCAGAGTACCTACCTAGGCATGGGAAAACAATGACTGTGTTCATAAATACAAATACACTAATTAGCCACTATCAAGTTGAGCTTCTCATCTTATAATTATTATGATTATAATGTAGTGATAATGTGATTAAAATTAATATGTTTGATGAATGCACCTTATCTTCAATAGACCCCCAACACCTCTAAAATGTCATGTCAGTACCTAGTTATAAATTCATATTATCAATAATTACGGTTTTCATAGATTTTTTACCGCAGAAAATTCGAGTAATTCGTACTTCGTATTCAATCTCAACTACAAGCTTACCTTAATATTTTTACTGGAAAATATTCTTTTAGTACAACCACCCATTGTCATGAATGAATATCAACTGAACTCAGAACTCAGAAGTCAGAAATCTCAGAACTCAGATGTCACGATGTCAGACTCGTCAGATTTCAGAAAGACAGAAATGACAGAAAGTCAGATATCGGATTTGACAGCTCACTGAATTTCAGTAAACACCTGGAATACGTGTGCCTGCTGACAGTTCCCGCAGTGTCATTCAATATTTGGCTTCTAATTAGTTATTGACTATCGGTTCATAATATGACAAAAACTCCCTTGGTATTAAAAACACACACACGCTGCGTTCACAACTTAACTTTTGACGTTTTGCTTTCCACGTTTCGTATTTTGAATTCTGATTTTGACGTTTTGCTTTCCACGTTTCGTACTCTGTATTCTGATTGATGAAGCAGAATCATGAATAAAACGTGAATTGAACTGAAGCAAATTTCGTTCTCAACAAACGTAACATCCGTTTTGTCACTTTTGCTCCATCTCAAAATAAAGTGGAAAATGATCATAAAATAATATTATAATATAAATGAGCGATTGGTAATTCATTATACTCTGACAAGGTTTTGATTTTGAAATGGTATCAATAACTTCCACCTTTCTGACACATAACATATCTTCATAATGTCACTTATGTTTGTCTGTTTCGAAATCTCGAATCAATAGTTATACTTTTTTTGTCGACACTCTTGATATGTGAGGTCAACTCGAAACAAATATTTTCATTTATCATACCTAGTTCGCGTTTTGTGGGTTTGAGAAGCTGAGGCAATTATTATTCAACACCTACTATGATCGTTATTACAGTGGGATCACCGGAATTTAACCATCTTTTTAAGATATCCAACAACTCACCAACAACGAATTCGGGTTTCGACACGCCTGAATAGAGGTTCAGGTGTTTCGGACCTCGCTCTGTTCCAAGAATTCAGATAGGACGATTGTCCGCCATTATTGTTACTTGTGAAACTTTGTGAGCGTTGGGCATTGGTTCAGTTAAATACACTCAAATACTATATTTATTTCTGCATCTTCGTTGGGTAGTCTTCAGCTAGCAGTCCGAAGACCGCCGGTTAGGTGGAGACTACTCTGCACTGATGAGAGTCAAGGAGCTCAAAACCGGTCTGTATGTGTCGTTGCGTTAACTTGCATTAGTATTCGTTTATACGTATCGATGCATAGTTTTCGAGAGGATGTAATTCAATGTTCTGTGTGGCATTAGTCAGGAAAGTAGTTGTTCTTCTTACGTCATCTACCATTGTTGTTCATTTTATGAACATTTGTGGAAATGACTTTTTTTGTATTTATTTAACATTTCATTCCACTTTGAGAATTGTTGCTATTTTGTAGTTGATATGTCCACTTAGTTCCTGATATGATATGTCGTGATTCACACTAATTCACACACTACAGCATAGATCCGGTTTGTTTGAGATTACTGTTCATACATATGAAGTTCAGCACATCTCAGTATTCATTCAGAGATGAGCTATATTCACCCTATTGATAATAATGTCACACTCGATTATTGTACAGTAATATCATTGGAATACTGCACGAAATTTGGTGACCATTCAAACATTTAACTTCCTTATAGATACTTATTTGCACTGAAGATACTTTCAGAAGTCTCGGTTATTATTTTATCAATAGCAATGCCATCCAGACGGAATTAGGCAAGCTCACCCATTGTTTGTCGTAAACTTCAAGGTTTGGCGACAATTTTTTACCGAAACGTGTTGTCTAGAACGGCAATGCTAGAATTAGGAATTGTGATGATCTGTTTTTTTATTCAATCTCTCTTTCGCTCTTTTATGCTTTCATATAGATTCAATATTTTGATATTGTTATTTTCTCATTATCGGGCTCTCTTTGAGAAATGTTGATCTGAAAATGAAGCCAACACCCCTATACAGTCCTGCCTGCTATATCGTTTGAAATTCGAATTGTTCACTGTGGTTTTCGACTTCATTTGAGAACACTCTAGTTAGTTGCTCCAGTTGTTTATAGTTCGTTTGTGATCCGTTTCCGTTCTTCTCTACTACTTCTGCTATTTTTTGTCGTCGTCAGGGTGCCTGCAGACAGCTTTCGCTTACTACATTGGCTTCCAACATTATAACGTAATATAAGGAAGGTAAATATCCTTTCTACATGGGAAATGAGACTAGTTCTTTCAAACAATTCAACCTCACTCGGCCTGAATGAGCTTTCGAAAAAATATATCATTCTGAAAATGAGACATTTCACTTGAACTGAACTGAATCAGTTGACATGCATTGAACATAATGAACGTTATTCGAAAGAACAATTCAGTTGAGGTTCTAGTGAAATATTTCAGTTGGTTCAGATTGAAAGAATATAACTAGAGACTACTTCTTCTGATCAATCTAACCTAAGTCTACAAGGTGACTACTTATTCGAAGCAATCTAACCTGACTCGGCCTAAATGAACCTTCCACATAGAAAATACCCTCAGCTGCAGCTGTTATGCTCACGCTGAGCTCACTGTTCCACGGACTTGCTTGATCATTAATATCTGAAAAATTTATTTGATTTAGAATGGTGACAGAATATTGGATGTGGTGTGCGGCAGCTGTCTGCAGGCACTCGTGTGATCATGGCTGTTGTTCTTTCTTCTGTAATTTCTTCCCGTTATTCTCTTGTCTGTTCATTGTTTGGCGTCTCAGGTTATTTAGGAATTGTTTCGCTCATCAACCGAGGTGACCGATGCTTTCAGGGCCAGTACCAACAATTTTGACAGTATAGTTTCCTACTGGTGACCATGGTTGTGACTTATTAACGGAATGCCAGTCATTTGTCATATCATGATTTTCAATCATGGCACTCAAAAGTCCCTAATTCTTGTGCCTAGTAAGCACAAACAAAGGATGTAGTCAGTAGTGTAGTAGAATAGAAAAACACGTCATATCAAACTGAAAATATATCGAATATTATTATTTTACCTCATTGAACGAATTCCTTCAGGAACCAATCCAACATTTCATGTTCACGGAATGGAAAACTACTAACAGAATTACCCAAGCTGATTTACGGAACAATACCGTAGTTGCATTATTATTTATCAATTTGATATTTCTCGATCATTGATGAATTTTCATTTAACCCTTTCTCTGAAATGCTTATTCCTCATTTACTGCCACCGAACACAATGAAGCCGACAACCAGAGCCAACAACCGACTCTTTCCTGGTCCGAGACGCTATTGTCAACTGTCTTTGTCTGTCCCCAGTCCTGTCGTCTGTCTTTTCACTCTCACTGTCAATAGTGTCAATTGTCTAATTTCTTTTCTAGATTATTTTGATTGAAGTCCTTTTGTAGGTGCGTTTATATTTTGATAATATTTGTTAATTTATCGTTTTCTGAACCATCGATGAGTGCTTTCAAAATTCCTGAATATTATCTTGCATAAAGTATTTCGTGAAATCCCTACGACAATATATTTTCTTTCTAAATTGATTATTTTGAATGGAGTAGTGTTTGAGGTTAGAAGGTATGTTTATTCATCTGTGATTTTTATTTCTAGGTGTCCATCAACATGGGAGCCTACAAATACATTCAGGAACTATATCGCAAGAAACAGAGCGACGTACTTAGATTCTTGCTTAGAATTAGGGTATGGCAATATAGGCAGTTGACCAAACTTCACAGGGCTCCCAGGTCCACTCGTCCTGATAAAGCCCGTCGGTTGGGCTACAGGGCTAAACAAGGTAAAGGGAATTAATCATACATGATTTTCTTTGATATTGCCACAGTGATGTTTGAAGAATGTGAATATTGCTACTTCCATTAATTAACCCCTGTTCTTGATTATCTTCTGACTGTTTTATCTTTGTTTCAGGTTTTGTAATCTTCCGAATTCGTGTTCGCCGTGGAGGTCGTAAACGTCCTGTTCCAAAAGGTACCACATATGGTAAGCCAAAGAACCATGGTGTGAACGAGCTCAAACCAGTAAGGAATTTGCAAGCCATTGCTGAGGTAAGTTTATGAATTGGTTGTTGTTTTCCTATGCATGTTTTGAATCTAAATTGAGCAATGAATTTATTGAGTGATTTTGGAAGTTTCTGTTATAAAACTCTCCAAACAAACCTTTTTCACATAGAAGTTGAGGATCATTTGACTCTGTTGAAGATTTTGTTTGGGATTGGCAATAACTTACCTATTCTAGCAGGGTGAGTTGATGTGTAAATAAAAAATAAACAAGCAGGTCCATTTTCTTGAAGGGGAATTCATTCCATCAAATACCCTACAAATTCTGGTGTACCTACCTCAAAGTTAAGATAGGGACATGTGAGCCGTTTTGACCAATAATAAATAGTTTCCACAAAAAAAATTCCTAAAGTTGAAAAATGTTGATTTTTCACACCCTATATCTCTGTAATCATTTCCGCTAGACCCCAAGTGTGATACATCGATGAAATCTGTTCTTCAGGGAGAATCTAAAAATGCAATAAAATACAGTGTTCCATTTGAAAAATCAAAGTTGCTACTGCTTTCTAATAGAAGCGGCAACACCGCATTGTCGAAAATATTTTAGTTGGCTAGAGAATGTCCGAATATGCCCTCCGTTAAATTTTCAAAATGATCCGTTGTGTGGTTCACCAGAAACCTCTAATTGTGCCATCCACCTTGAATCAGCCTGTATACCTGGAAACATATTAGATTTCAGCTCACGGTTTTTTGACTCCCTCTGCTATACTTCAGGAGACAACACAACCTGGGTAAACTACTACTTTTTTCCCTTGTATAATGAATAACTATTTCCTTATTGTTAGTTTTTTACCAAGGTGACATCATTTTCCTTATTTTCAATGGGACAATGCATTTTACATTTTTGAATTTCTTTCATGAATCTGATTTAAATTCATGCATACCCTACCCAAAATGAACTGTTTTGGAGTTATTTGAGTTTTTCTAGAGAAAGTGACAAATACAGCTTACTGAACATGCCATTTTCATATGAATTTTTAGTGACATGCAGTGATTACATTATGATTATTGAGGGTTGAACGGTTCACCCACTATAATCACAACCACTGAAAAATTCACAGGGTGTACAGAAAAATGGATCCAAAATTGAATGTGAAACATTGAAAATCCCAATTTCTCTTCTCATTAATCAATTCTATTATAAAAGTGAGGCCTGGTTCAAATTAACTCCCTCATACCCGAAACTCATTATTTCGGAGATATTCCATAAGTATTACTTGATTCTGCCTAATAACTGATTGAAATTATGGGTATCTAGTATGCAGGGTTTTCAAACTCGAGTCGGCATTATTGCTAACTTGGTTATTATTTGACCTACAAAGTCTGTTAAATTGACAAACTAGAAGTATTTCCTCTCAATCAATAGGATATTTGATTCAGAACAAGAAAGGTCCTTTATACTTTTATCCTGAATTTTAAAATGACAATTGACAAACTAGGTAGTATTTCTTCTCAATCAATAGGATATTTGATTCTGAACAAGAAAGGTCCTTTATACTTTTATCCTGAATTCTAAAATGACAGCTATCAACGATTTATTTTCATTTTTATGTCAAAAGGCACTTTCTTTTTGAATGGGGCGCCCTGTATAAAATATACTCAATTGATAGAAAATTGGATTCTGAACAAAAACTGCCCCCTAACTTTTCGAATTCTGATTGGTGAACCAAAATAAATCAAAATGATGCAAAAAACTGAAAATGTACAGCTTTTTGCATTGCAAATGATATTGTTATAAAAATGAAAAATACTTCTGTAATTTTTGATTCCAATTCCATACATGTATGGAACATTCTATATGGAAGATATGATAATGTTTTTGCTAATGATTTTTTTGTGGATCCAGGGAATAGAAGAAAGGTATACTGTTCAATTTATTATTTTCTTCTTGATGATTGATTTTTGTCTTCAAGTATTGCATTGAATATTAGTAATTATCTAATCAATATGATATGATTATTTCACTTCATTATAGGATGAAGCACAAATGACAAAATCAATGCAACTGAGAAAAGCCATAAAAAATATAGATTTATTTTGTTGGGAATGATATTTGCATAAGTTCAACCACCAGAATACGAAACTTGAAAAGCAAAACGTAAAAAGTTTATTTGTGAACGCCGCTTTAGTCAAGGATGATCAAGAGGTATTACTTTGTAACTTTGGCTTGCTACAAAGTGGAAAGAAATCGTCGATACCTCAAATCATTTTTGAATTTACGATGAAAGTTTTTGTTCAGAATCAATTGACTATATTTTATACTGGGTGTCCCATTGAAAAAAAAGTACTTTTTGACATAAAAGTAAAAAGAAAACGTCGATAGCTCAATCATTTTTGAATTTAGGATACAAGTTTATAGGACTGTTCTTGTTTAGAATCGAATATCTTATCGATTGAGAATATTGTATACTGGGTGCCCCATTTAAAAAAAAATGAACTTTTTGACATAACTTGGGAACGCGAAGTTCAAATTTTTTTTCGAATCCGAAAATACTAATAGTTTGTCCATTTAACCGACTTTGTAGCTCCCTGTATACAGAATGTCCCTAAATAGTCTGTTCAAAATCTCAGCACCTATTCCTGAGGTTGAAATAAGCCAATTTAGAGCAACTTACCTTGGTCCAAAATTGCTCAGTAAATTCAAAAAATGAAAATCAACAAGTACAGGGTGGTGGGAATTCGAGCCTCATCATTGGAATCTCGTAAACCATGAGATATACAAGGTCGGTTGAATTATGGCAAAGTTGCTCAATTTAATACCTAACATAATGCCGTTTTCAAATTTGAAAAATTCCTAATATTTCCAAAGATTTTTGTAAAAAACCCAATAATCCAGATATCACTTTTATTCATTTATGAATAAAATTATTACTATTTGAATAGATGTAACATAACAAACTACACATCTGATTGCTACTTCTTCTGTTTTACAAGATGGTGTTCTCAGTTTTTTAAACCGACGTTTCGCTTTCAAGCTGCCATCATCAATTTAGTTTGTTTTAACCCATATCCACTGAGGTGGATTATTTTTATTCAACTACTGAGGGGAAGTCTTACAGACTCTGACTAACTAATGAGGTTGATTGAGGTATGGAAATAGAAATAATTGCAATCTAAGTACTGCACTAGTAGAATTGATGTTTTTGCAAGTTCACCATTGAAACAAAAAAAATCATGAAACCGAATTCTTTCATTGCCACAATTCGCAAATAATTGTTACCTATATTTTCATTCCAATTCAAATACAGTCCACTGAAGCTTCTCTCTCGCCCAAACAGTATATAATAATATTTATCCACAAATACCTTACCAAAAAATACACATTTCACTTTTAAGACCATTTCTGACCTTGAAACTGATAACTGAATTGTATAATGCGTGAGTATGGTAATTCTGGTTGAACAAAACTGAAAACGTGAAAAATATGAAACAAAATCTTGAAGAAAAAATTCGTTCAGGTAGTTCTATCTCCTTCTGTTCCACACATGTTGCATATATTTATCTGGAACATCTAAGACAAATTTGCTTCCTGCAGTGGGTGCGTATTTTGATCTGCTGTGAAACCTGGATAGACAGGGAAGCAGTACCGTTTATTTTCAAGGCAATTTCCTCATTAGGAACGAGAGTAGGGAAGTCCTAGGTTTGGGATTTTTATTCAGATTTTATCCTATGAAATTGTTAATATAAATAATAAGTGAAAAAATTGAGTAGCTTACTGAGGTGGAGTCTGCGAGTCTCCTGATCCACTTCAACTGCTGAAATAAATTCATATGATTACATGCAACTGCCCTTACGTACCGGGTGTACCACTAAGAAAGGACGCCGGCTGTATCTCGGAAACTATTTGCCGCACAGGTTTCGGTAAAAAATATTCAACCTCTAGCGGCTGTCCTGGAAACTTGAAAATAATTTCCAGAGATTTCTCTTGGCCACTTTTATCATTCATATTTTTTTTACACCCGGTACACGGCTAGACTGATCTGAGGTCAGAAGGTACTAGAGGCGGTGGAGTGAGGGACTCATTAATTAGGGTGGTGGCAAGAGTTGAAGGTGTTGTGGAGCCTGAGAGACGCACCTCAGTGGTTAAGAGTTGATTTCAAGAGCGTTTGATCTCCTAAAATCAACAGTGTATGGCACTTATTCGAAAAATTCATATTATTGGCATTCCTCATAATCACTAGAGACAGATAGATGATAGATTTTGACATGAAAATATACAGGGGCTCCAATTTAAAATTAGAAAAATGTATATTATGTTATAAAGACACTATCTTTTGTGTAATTTATTTTTCGACCGGTGATGCCAAACTGATAATTTTTAGGTATATGGAATTATGTAAGTGACTTGATCATGGATTGTTAATAAATAGTTGTTCATTGTTTCAGGAACGTGTAGGCAGAAGGTGTGGAGGTTTGAGAGTTCTCAACTCATATTGGGTAGCCCAGGACTCTTCCTACAAATACTTTGAAGTTATTTTAGTTGACCCAGCACACAATGTAAGTAGTTTTCTGACGGTTCTTATTTATGACACAAGTTTTGGAAGTGCCTTGAACACACATTCCTCACTTGTATCACATCTGGTCACATTATTGAGTATATTTTTCAATCAGAATTTCGGTGGCCAGATACCCTGTCTCACCCGGAATGTCGAACTCTTAGGGTTTGAAATTTTTGTATTTATTTCAATGTATGTATTCCTGTATGAGAAAAACGTCATCGGTATTTTTTAATGGCAAACACATTTTACGGGAGCACTGAAGTTAACGGACATGCACTGTTTACAAACCCTATGTGTGATATATTCTTGAATCCAGCTTCCCATGAATATTCCAAAAATTGAATAATATATTGGGTGTTTCATTAAAAAAATGGCACGGACGTCATAGCTCTAACGGAATCACCCTGTTTATCTGATTTTCCCTTATAAAAGTGCCGAATGAGGGCTAAGATTTTAACTCTCATCAGTTGGCGCTACTAAAACATGAGGTCAATATCAAAGTCAAAAATTCCAAAATTTTGCCGGATAGCCCTAAAGGCTATTGCCTGTTTCATCGAAAATATTCGAAAAAAATTATATATAGTAATTGAAAAAACACAAAACCTCAGGTTTCCGAAAGACGTGAGCCTCTTACGTTTTTTTTTACTTTCAATATGGATCTTTACGACCAATTCTTACATTGACGGAGAAGAAGATATAGCAAAAGGCCAAATGACACGAAGATAAGAAGTATATTTGAAAGTTCTACAACCCTCTGACCTCATGTTTCGGTGGCGCGGTTTGGTGGACAATAAATAATGTTAGTTCTCATTGAAAATGAAAATCGATCGAGGAATCGATAGTTTGGCTAAAATGGAATGTATTCTTCATTTACAAGAGAACATAATTTAAAGGACACTGTGTACAAACTAGGGATCGACCGATATAGAAATTTTAGCCGATACCGATAATCGGCCGATACCGATATTTCAAATACCGATATTCCGATATATCGGTCTATCGGCCGTTAACAAGTTTTCTCTGAAGCTGGTAATATTTATGATGCAAAACGTAGCAGGCTAACTCCTGATAGGGCAGAAAGCTTATTGTTTTTGCATCACAACCTACCAAAACTAAATTATCAGTATCAATCAGTTATTTTTGTATTTTAGTAAAGTGAAATAATTTTACCTTACAGTTGCAATCCGCATAGGGTTTTATTTTATTAATTTTCAATTCAAAATACAATAATATCGGCCGATACGATACGATAATCGGCCAATGAGGCCGATATAAATATCGGTATTGGTCGATCCCTAGTATATGTGTGATATATATTTGAATTCGGCTTCTCATGACTATTCCAAATAATGAATAATATATTTAGTGTTCAATTTGAAACAATTGTCGCGGACGTCTTTACTTAAACGTAGATCACCCTGTAAATTTAATTTTTCTTGTAATAGTTGCAATTTACAAATGAAAAAGAACCTGTCTCTGAAAATTCCTCAGAAGTGGATAGTTTGACAGAAATAGAATTTATTCAGTACGTTATGAAAGTTCAAAAGCAGCTTATCCGAGAGTTTTACACCACAACAAGGATTACCACAAGGTTCACCCCTGTCACCGATATTGTATAATATTTATTGTTCTGACATATACAACCACAACCTACAAAACCGAAACCACATTAATCCATAAGCATATCTACTTCAATTTGCTGATGATACGACACTGGTAGCACATGGTAAGACATTACAAAAAACTATGAGAACACTGAAACAATTGACAACCAGCACCACGCACTGGATGCAAAATGGCGAATTATACCAAATTCAACCAAATCCCAATTGATGATATTCCATCATAGGATCAAGAACATTTCTCCAGAAATAACCTTGCAGAATCAACAGCTACGCACTGGATGCAAAAATGGCGAATTATACCAAATTCAACCAAATCCCAATTGATGATATTCCATCATAGGATCAAGAACACTTCTCCAGAAATAACCTTGCAGAATCAACAGCTACAAACAGTACCAACCTGCAAATATCTTGGCATGACTATTGACAGCAAATTGAACTTTGAAGCCCATATGAAAAAGACAAAAAAGGAAGCAATGAAAAGATCAAAACATTTCAGAGCCTTGACATACCAAAATCAAGGAATAAATACAGCTACAGCGTGCAAAATATATAAAATGATCTGCCGACCTGTTCTGGAATACGGACATGTTACTCTGAATAACTGCAGGAAACCAACTCAGCGGAACTTGAAAGTGGTGGAGAGAAGCTGTTTAAGAACTATTTCCAAAATAAGGCACCCTGCAAATCCTCTTCACAACCCTTCCAACATTCTCCTATACCAAAAAACTAAAATAGAACCTATCCTCACCCGAATCACCAGAATGACCAAAAAATTTGCGAACAAACAATCCTCTTACTCCCATCAAACGCAAATTGCCTGAATTCAGCCTATATGATTCACTCTCCAGACAAAATACCTACAGATAGAATAATAATGTATAAAATGCACTTTTTTTAAAAATAATTTACCTTGTAAAAATCACTATTTAAATAATGCCCTTGAAATACATAAAATGATCTAGTATATACTGACAGGAAGACTTTGGTCGTTAGCCATTTGGCATAATGTATTTTTTATTTTATGTCCAATAAAGTTTATTTTCTTCTTCTTCTATGGAAGTACTGTATAAAAATAGTTGATTCCTCAAAAAAAAAAAAAATTTCTTGAAATCCTCAACTAATTTGCTTTTGAAGTGGATTACGAAGGTGCTAATCAGTGTGTCCATTTAGTGCGTAATTCTTTGATATCTCGAAATCCATTATCACTAGAGAAAAAATTTTGGAAACAAATTTCTTTCGTTATTGAAGGTTCCATTTCAAAAATATTTTCCACAATACTGGGTGTTTTATTGTAAAGGATATCTACTCTGAGATATCTTTTTGGTGCAATAAAGCGGGTTCAACAAATATCAACAATTATTTACAACTCGGGCGCCACCTATTTTATCGTGGTAGGTCCACTTACGCCGGGCAACTATCAGTGGAGATAGTGTAAACCAGGGGTCTGAGATTTCTACTGTCAAAATGACGTAAACTTTATGTCTTTTAATCCCCGGATCACTAGTTGCTCTAGCGAAATAAAACTCAAATTAACTGAGACAACTTTACTATTTATTTACACTAATATTTACAGTTGGTGATATACTTTAAATCTAAACTTATTTACACCGCGCTATTTACATACGATCCTAGACTCCTACCCCTTTACAGTCCCGAGATACCACAGCCTATTCCCTCATGAGACATGCGGAGTATCTAAGCACGCGGGTACATAAGGTTACGTGATCATAAGCAGGACTAGCAACAAGCTTCTAAGGTGATTGAAGCAACATTACATGCATGTAGGCTAAGCAAAATGGGTGATCAATTCGGGAACAGGTTTACACCGTCGGATCCCGAGTTGATACTAACAATCAAATACCATAATCGCAAGTCCAAGATCGCTCCGCCGGATCCTGAAATCTCTGGAATAAATTGAATGTGGGGACGGGTGAGCACCTCTGGACCCCAGATTAGTACAAATCAAGCGAGTCTCCGGCTGCTCCTCCGGATTCTGTAATTCCTGGAATAAATTAAATGCGGGGACGGGTGAGCACCTCTAGACCCCAGATTAGTACAAATCAAGCGAGTCCCCGGCTGCTCCTCCGGATCCTGGAAATTCCTGGAATAAATCAAATGCGGGGACGGGTGAGCACCTCTAGACCCCAGATTAGTACAAATCAAGCGAGTCCCCGGCTGCTCCGTATCCTGGAAATTCCTGGAATGAAACAAATGCGGGGACGGGTAAACACCTCTGGACCCCAGATTAGTACAAGTCAAGCGAGTCCACAGCTGTTCCTCTGGATTCGGGAATTCCTGGAATGAAATAAATGCGGGGACGGGTAAACACCTCTGGACCCCAAATTAGTATAAGTCAAGCGAGTCCACAGCTGCTCCTCTGGATTCGGGAATTCCTGGAATGAAATAAATGCGGGGTCGGGTAAACACCTCTGGACCCCAAATCACCTAGGAAGGAATCGAAATAGGATGATTAGTACCAGTGCTGTCTTGCGGCGGTCGGCTCCTCTCTCTCTCTCTCTCTTCTGCTGGCTGGCTGGTCGGCTGGCTGGCTTCGGCTCGGCGTGGCTTCTCCGCTGGTCGCTCTCACTGTACTGTCCCACCGTTGCCCTCTCTGAGCTACGACCAAAGAGGAGAGGGGAAAGCGTTTCCACTTGGAGTATTTATGAATGAAATAGTGAAACTTAGATGATGACCTTGAAATAACCCAAATGAATGAACTGGCTCGATGGGTTACGCTCCGCTCATTGGTTGGAAGCAGGTTGAAGTATTGATTTTTTGAAACTGACATACGTATTGAAGGCGCGCTTACAACTTACAAGTAAGCGATCCGCGTTCAACGTATCAAATCCTCATTGGTGGATAGATTGACAGCCGTCGCGTAAATGTATGTTCACCCAATCACAACACGATTCTACAAAATTAGGTGGACATTGTGAATCTACCTTAGAATAGTTTATTTACAAGTGTCACTGGAATAATAGAAATTAATAATAATTTATTTTGACTTGCCAATGAATCAGAAACTTAAGCAGGACATGAGGATATTTTGTTTTTGTGAACGATAAATCATCATTCACCTATGTGCAATGTGGAATTTCTCTTTGTAATTTTAGGTTAGGAACAGATCTCAGGATATCTTCTAAATGAACATCTTCAATTCATCTTATTTTTCCATAAGCTGATGAATCATTCTGCTCAGTCTTACTGAAGGAAATAAAATGAATCATTAAGAAATTCCTTGAAATTATTTCCTTCAGTATTCAAGGTAGGTTTGCACATATGAAATAAAAATAACCATCATTTCGAATGAAGATTTTAATCAAATCAATAACAAAATAAATCAGTAAAATGTAGGAAATAGTTTTCAATATACCACATTTATTTTCTTGATTAATTTGATTTTTCTTGGTGTGATAGCTGAAAGTTGCTTTTCTGTCTGCACTTGAGAATCAGACTTCTCCATAAAATGACCTACTTCTATATTTTCATCACTGAAATATGAATGCTCCCCATGTATGGAGCCTGATAAAGATACCTATAAGATCAAGTGTAAGTATGTAAAATACAATAAAATCAGGACCATTTTACCACCAAGTTTAGTATAGGAACAGCATTTTCTTTCAGTTTGTGCTTTTCTATCAAATGATCCTCAAAATGTAGACTGCAAATTCTCATGCTTCCATACAATTTCATAGGATCAGTAGCCCTGATCAATTCATCATTGCACGCCAGTTGCCATGAATTCATTCTCACTTCTTGGGTCCTAGGATTAGGGAACCTAAAGAATCTCAATGGTGTATGTTGATTATTATCTAAGTACTTACTCTTGCAGTCTTTGACTGCACATTTTAGTCCTCCAGGTCTCCCCATTGCCAAGTTTATCTACAAAAATATATCATTTCTACCTCAGCAACCCTAGACACTAGAAAAAATCAAATATACCTACACTTATACCACAATATTTTGAGGTTATGTAAAATGATAACAAGAAACGAAAAATGATGATGATTCCACTGAAACTTAGCAGAAAAACACAAGTCTATAAAAATAATAATCGCTTTTGTGCAGATTAAATCCACTTTTTTTGAAAAATTTGCCAAATCTCTGAGAAGAAATTAGTTGACAAACAGTAAACATACAGCTGACATCTGATCGTAGTAAAAATTCAAGGTCATTTGTCAGTTTTCCCGCGCATTTCAAGTGGAGCTTCTTGGTGACTAACCTATATTCTTTGCTACGACGGCTCTCGACGCGTAGTACCACCACTCTTCTCGAATAGTGGGGCGCGCACGCGATACGTATACCTAGTTGGATATCGATCTCATATCCGCTCGGCGTTTTATTAATAATCAATCAAAATATTTATAATCAATCAATCCTGAATCATGGCCGTTGACATCTATTAATAATACTTCCGGTGTATTATTACTAGCATTCCCGAAAAAGAACGGGGTTTCTGGCTTCCTATTTACAGAAGTTAGACCCTTACTATACCGCATGTCTCACAAAGAACCCAAAAATAAAAGTAACTTCGTTACATTATAAAAGCGGGAGGACTCGGAGACGAGTTTTTTCAAATAGAACACCCAGAATTTTTTATTCAAAATTCATTCCACTACGGTTTAGCTCTACATCGCTGTGAAAAAAATTGGATTCGGTTGAGGCGTTGCCAAGTTATAATTGATATTTTTATTTTTACTTCTATTGAAGGGTCATGTTGAATTGGGTATGGTATATTCATTTATTGAAATTTTGAGAAGATTTTTGGCATACAGTAGTAGCAAGGTCTCACGTACACCAATCCAGTAATTTTGCGAGATTATCCTTTACAGGGTGCTAAAATTTACACTCTGAATATTGTAAGAATCAGACGACGTTCACTAGAATTTTTCAAATGGAACACCCTGTATTTTTCATCAGATTTATTCCGACATCATTCGCCTTTTCATCGCTGAAAAAAAAATTGAAATCGGTTGCGGCGTTTTCAAGTTATGAATAATTTCCTTATTTTCATCACTATCTCAGGGTGTTCCATTAGAAAAATTCTAATGATTGCCATCTGAATCTTGCGAAATTCTAAATGCGAAATAGAGCACCCTGTTAAAGAACATGTCGCAAAATTACTGAATTTGTATACGTGAGACCTTGCTACTACCGTATGCCAAAAATATTTTCATATTGGCTTTAGTGAAGATGGCGCCGACTGAGGTTGACGCGGTTTTAGCTCTCAAAAATACCGAAAAGAATAACGATGATAAATTGTGTTTCCACTGTAACAAGAAAGTAGTTACATCACAAAAGTGTATAGTGTGCAGTGAATTTTTTCATCCGGCGTGTTTGAAGCAGTCAGCCGTCGCAAAAAGTGCCCCTTGTAAGCATGTTGCAGAAAATGAGGTTAAAGTTAGGCACAAAAGTGAAAATGTCCACGAAGCCAGTGACAATATTCTATTGTATAAGAGAATCATCCTGGAGATGGAAGAAAAATGTCTTATACTACAAGAAAATAATGTTTTGCTGAAAGAAAAGATTTCATATCTGGAAGTGAAATTGGAAGACCAACACCACAATGCAGCATCAAACAAAAAAAACTACAGCAATAAAAACTCGAGTAAAAACTCGTCCATGAGTTCCAAAATAAACTCGGCTACGACACCGACAGCGCCGAACGTAACCTCAATTATCTCATCTTCTTTGCCAACTAGAAATCTAAACAATATGGTTGAGACTAAGTTAGGAGGAGAAGAAGAAAAAGAAGAAGACGAGAGTATAAAAATGATAACCCAGGTTAGGAAAACAAAAGTTGAGACAATGCAACAAACATCCCAGCAACTACCAAATGTTGATTCCAAGGGTAAACAAAAACATAATTCAATTTCATATTCTGATGTGGCCTTGGGTATTCAGCAAGCAACATCAATGGCAAAAATCAATGAAATACAGCAACTTACTGAGGTGAACGCAGTGTCTGATAAAACCAATTCATGGACTCAAGCGAAACCCAGACGTAAGAACAGGAAGAATGATTTCCTCATTGGTGAAAGGAGTGGTGTACTGATGACGGTCCCAAGATATGTAGATCTTCACCTAACTCGCATTAGACCTGATATAAAAGTTGAAGAACTTACTGACTTCTTGAAACTCAGTCTCACAGACGTGAGATGTGTAGCCATGAAATCTAAATATCCAGAGTCATATTCATCTTACAAAATATCTGTGAGGGAAGAAGAGATGGATATTGCTTGGTCCCAGAATGTTTGGCCAAAAGGTGCTATGGTATCTCATTTTTTATCCCGGAGACCACAGCTCTCAGTGACAAAGTGATAGCACCAAGCGAACATGCTACTCAAGATAAAACTCAAAATATAATTTTCCATCACAATGTTCAGTCACTGGGAAACTGCCTAAATATGTTACAGAGGGCAGTTGATGATTCAAGGTGCCCAATCATATGCTTGTCAGAACATTGGCAAGGGGAAGATGAACTGAAATTATTCAAATTGAGAAACTTTCATCAGGCTGCTAAGTACTGTCGCCAAGTTGACTCCCATGGAGGATCTGTGATTTATGTATCAGACAATATACCACATATGCCTATTCATGAGGTATATTGTATGGGTGAACAGTTGGTGTTTGAATGCTGTGGTGTCAAATGCAATATGAATGGTCACTGGATTATCATTGTTTGTATTTATAGATCACCCAATAGTTCTATTGCCCTTTTCCTTCAGAAATTTCAGGATTTGATGAATTTCTTATTTAACACTAAACTAACCTATTTTGTAGCTGGAGATTTTAATATTGACACTCTCTCTGACAGTGGGGCTGCCAGTGACTTAATAAATCTTCTGATGTGTTTCAATGCTAAATTAACAATAAGAGACTATACAAGAGTTACGGCACATAGCAAAACTTGTTTAGATAATATTATTACTAATCATTTAGGAAATGAGGTGGGTAATGTAGTAGATATAGGGTTTTCAGACCACAAGGCTCTTATTCTTGCATGCAATTTGTTTCCATTATCTGGCCTAAGCCAAAATATTGAGCGTCGTAGCTATAAAGAAGAATATACTCTAAATTTTTGTCAGCAGCTTAGCATCGAGACTTGGGATAATGTGTATATGGCAAAAAGTTTTGATGAAGCTATCCTGCTTTTTACAAATCATTTCTCAAGTATTTTTGAAAGGAACTCCTAAAATCAAAATTAAAAGAAAACCAAAAAAAACTTATCTCTTTAATTCACCTCAAATATCACTGTTGAAAGAACAAGTATCTCTTTACCAGTTATTAGCTAGAAATGATAAAATTTATAAGGATGACTACAATAATTTGAAACAGGAGTACAATAATATTCTCGAACGTACAAAGAAAGATCATTATAGGAATCGAATCATGAGATCAGATAATAAATCCAAAGCAGTGTGGGCTATTGTAAAAGAAGTAACTGGTGTACAATCTCATCAAAGTTCTTCAGCACAGGTAAATACGGAAATGGCTAGTAAATTCAACAACTTTTTTATCGACAATGTATCTGATATTATGTCATCCCAGCCGAAGGCAGACACAAATATGTTTGAAAATCTCATACATTTTCATTCCAACACTTTGTTTCTGAAGCCAGCAACAGAAGAGGAAATCTTGGATGTTATAAAGAATATGAAAAATAAACGAAGCACAGGTATTGATGAAATCCCAATTCATGTTATAAAATTATGTGCCCCTTATATAGTTAAAATTCTTGTATATTTAGTAAATAAGTCATTTGAGGATGGTGTTTTTCCGAACAACTTAAAAACAGCTTTAGTAAAACCATTGTTTAAAAAGGGTGATGCCTCAGTATTATCAAATTATAGACCGATTAGTTTGTTAACTTGCTTTTCAAAGATTTTTGAATTATTGATGGCAAAAAGATTGCTGTCATTTTTTTAAACCTTTCATTTATTCTCAAACTGTCAGCATGGTTATCTCAAAAACAAATCCATTGACACAGCACTTTTTAACTTCACAAATGAAATTCTCAAGGCCATGGAAAGGGGAGATCTTTCCTGTGGAATTTTTCTTGACCTCTCCAAGGCCTTTGATTGCATAGACCACCAGCTTCTGCTTGATAAACTGTATAAATATGGCATAAGAGGAAACGCTCTTGATTGGCTGAAATCATATTTGAGGGACAGAATGCAACTGGTGGAGATGAACAGGAATGGCGTTGGGGTGCGATCTGAGGCCTTGGAGGTTCCTTTTGGAGTTCCACAGGGGAGTATCCTGGGGCCCATCCTATTTTTAATTTTTATCAATGATATTGAAAATATTGTTGTTGACCCCTTATCTTCCCAACTGGTATGCTTCGCTGATGACACAAATATACTGCTTAGCGGCTGTGACATACGAGAGATCATCCAGGATGGAAATGTATTGTTGAATAGAACTAAGTCTTTCTTCTCGGAAAATAGATTAGTCTTGAACAATGATAAGACAAGTTGTGTGATATTTAAAAATAAGGAAAATATGAAACCTGATTCTTTAACTATAAAAATAATCAAATTTTGTCCTGCAGTGACACTGTTAGATTTCTTGGCATCACAGTGGATTCCACTTTGAGTTGGAGATGTCATATAGACAATGTATGTAAGCGATTAGCTTCTACAATCTTTGCTATTCAGACTCTGAAACAAAATGTGGACAGAGATGTATTGATTACTGTGTTAAGTTTGGAATTGCCATATGGGGTGGTAGCCGGGAGTTGGGCAAAATTTTTTTGAGTCAAAAAAAGGCTATCCGCCTAATGTTTAACATGAAAGCTAGAGAATCATGCCGCGGAATATTCAAGGCAAATAACATGCTCACTGTTCCTGCTGTGTATATATTAGAAACAATTAAATTTCTTACGAAACAGTCGCACCAGTTCAACTGTTACAAAAGTTCACACGCTTACAACACTAGGCACTATGGCGATTATGTGTTTCCCAGGCACACTAGAAGCTCCACAGAAAGAGGGACAATGTATAGTGCTCTAAAATTTTTCAACTGTCTGCCGCAAGCAATAAAAAAGATTGAGCACACCAGTGGTTTTGTGGGGTCACTGAAAGCATACTTGACTGAGCTGGAGCCCTATACAGTTGAGGATTATTTAAAGTCTCCACTTGAATTCGAGCTAGGTACTTGATGTTTGTATTTTTGTTAGTATTTTTTTGGTATTTTTTTATCTATTTTTCTGTAATTCAACTTGTCCCAGATAACGTGTTTTTACTTTTACTTTTACTTTTATGTGTATACCTAAATGCTAAAGCTAGTTTCATCTTATGAGCAAAATGTTATTCAATTGTGCCATAAATGAATTTGTAAAACTTTGACCTGTTTCATAGACCAATCAATTTTTTTGTTTTTCGTATAAAATGGGAAATTGTAATCTAATGAAATCAATAAATTTCTATTCTATTCTATTTTATTCTATTCTAATTTGAATGAATAAATATACCGTGCCCTCTTCAATAGTGGTAAAAATAGATTTATCAATAATAACTTAGCAACGCCGTAACCGATTTCAATTTTTTTTACAGCGATGTGAAGGTAATCCTCGGCGCAATAAATTCCGAATAAACAATACAGGGTGTTCCATTTAAAAAAACTCGTCTCCGAGTCATCCCGCTTTTATTAAACACCCAGTGATGTTGAAAATATTTTTGAAATAAGCAACTTGAGTAACTGAAGAAGTTTTTCCTTCAAAGTTTTTTTTCTATTGGTTATGGCTTTGGAGATATCGAAGAATTACGCACTAAATGGACACACTGTACAAGTGTCTTTCTATAGTTTTTTCAACTACTATTCATTATACATTAGTTGAATTGTCATTATCATGTCGACTTTCAGGCCATCCGTCGCGACCCGAAAATCAACTGGATAGTGAACGCCGTCCACAAGCACCGCGAACTCAGAGGCAAGACCTCGCTGGGCAAGTCTTCTCGAGGCTTGGGCAAGGGCCACAGGTACTCGCAGACGAAGGGCGGATCGAGAAGGGCCGCCTGGCTGAGAAGGAACTCGCTGCAATTGCGCAGGAAGCGATAGAATTTGTATTTTTGGTAAAGATTAAAACCTGTGAGGAGAGTTTTTGTCGTTTCAATTGTCCTGCTACCTGTTTTGGATCGGAAATTACAACATTACATTTGAAACTTTCAGTTATGTTACTGAAAGTTTCACATTAATATCATATTTTTCAATAGTTCTACCAATAGAATATTCCATCATTTTGTTTGAAAATGTTTATAATTACATTTGAAACATTCAGTTGAGTCCAGCATTTTCCATTTGAAATTTTCATTACATCTGTAACTTTGAATGGTGATTCAGAAAGCTTTGCGGTGAACTGAAAGTTCCATATTGATTTCACTAGTTTGAATATCCCTGTTACCTATTTTAAATGTTTCGTAATTAAAATGAGTTCATTAGCTATATAAGTTGCCTTGCATTTTCAAATCGAAAAGTTAAACTTCACATTTGAAACATTCAGTAATGTTACTGAAACTTCACATGAATATCTTGATGTTTTCCTGTTTCATTAATAGACTTTGAAATTCTCAGCATGACATGCTTTGAGTAATGTTTAAACTGACATGAAAAAAAAATAATGCTAGAGTGAGGAATTTTGTATACAGTGAAATTAGTGAGTTAGTCGTGAGAAATCACGAATTTGAAATTTTCATAACATCTGTAACTTTGAATGGTGTTTCAGAAAGCTTGGCGGTAAACTAAAAGTTTCATATTGATTTCACTAGTTTTAATAATCCTGTTAACTATTTTAGATGTTTGGTTTAAATGGGTTTATTAGCTAGATAAGTTTCTCTGCATTTTCAAATCGAACATTTGAAACATTCGGTAATGTTACTGAACTTTTACATGAATATCATGACGTTTCTGTTTCATAAATAGATAAGTCCATAATTTTTCATTTGAAATTTTCAGCAATAAATCTGAAACTTTGAGTACTAAATGTTCAAACTGACATATTAGAAAATGCGAGAGAGGAATTTTGTATCAGTCTTTCGTGTGAAATTATAGTGAGTGCATGTTAATGCATAAACTCAGAATATTATTTGTTGTCGTTCGCCCTTAAGCATTGTAGCATGTAGTCTACCCTTTAGCGTAACGTCAACCCACCCGTTTTCAAAATTCTCCTCCTCTGGTGTCGGGCATACAGTGGAGAGACGCTTCGAAGACACAGAACGAACCAGACGTGTTGTTGTAATAAACACATGAGTAGTAACGTATTGTTTTATTCAACATAAAAATGCTCCATCGAGTCGGATAATTGAGAAAAGTGTTGCAAATTAGTGATAAAAGGTCCTTCGAGAAATAGATACATTCAAAAGTTTGATTTGATGAGAGAAACAATCAAATCGATATTTGCACAGCAGACCAGTGGCGAGACGGCGTGAAAGCAGCGAGAAGGCATGAGCAACTTGAGTGGTCGGCTGGAATTCTACCTGCGCTGTGAGTAACCTTCCCCTTTTCTATTGTGCCTTGTAATTCGGATTCGTTTTGAGTGGCGATATTTGGATATTTTGTCGGTTTAGAGTTCAGAATAATTGCAGAGGGTAAAACAAGGTCAATACCGAGTAGTTGTTTCGTATTTTATTAGATATTGAATAGGATTAAAAGTAAATACGTTAAAATGACGAGCGAAAATGTTATAGCATTGAAAAAGAAAAGAGGGGTTTTGAAAAAGCGTCTTTCGCGTTTTCAGAGCTATTTGGATGATTTAACCCAGGCAATAGTGAATGAAACCGCACCGAATATAGGTAAAAACATGTTTGTCGAACTAGAGGTTCGGTTAGAAAAGGTCAATAGTATTTTACAGGAGTTTGAAGATATACAGGGTGGAATAGAATGCGAAGTAGACGATATTGACGAAGAGTCGAATGAACGAAATTCATTTGAAAATGAGTATTTCAAGGCTATTTCAATGGGAAAATGTTTACTAGAAGAGTATAATAATAGTTTTGAAGCTGAAAATTTGGAAAATAGAGCAGCGGGCTCAGGTGTAGGTAATTCTAGCAATTCAGTCTCTGGTTCAACCACAGGCAATTTGAATTCACAAATTCGTCTTCCTCAGATACAGCTACCGAAGTTTTCTGGAATGTACGAGGCTTGGTTGGAATTTCGGGACACATATCAATCGCTAATTCATGAAAATGCTGGGTTGGGCGAAATTCAGAAATTCCATTATTTGCGCGCCGCATTAGAAGGTAATGCAAAGCAAGTCATACATTCTCTAGAATTTTCAGCTGCAAATTATGCAGTGGCGTGGAAACTTTTGAGGGAAAGGTATGACAACAGAAGGCTTCTAGTTCATAATCATATAAAAGCAATAGTTGATGTACAAGCGATATCCAATGAGTCATCGGTCGAATTGCGCAAGTTTTTAGATACACTCAATAAGCACCTGAGATCCCTAGAAAACCTTGAACAACCTATTCAGCACTGGGATACCTTGATAATATTTTTAGTTTCGAATAAGTTAGACAGATTATCTCTGAGAGAATGGGAATCTTATAAGATTTCAAATGAATTACCAACATTGGTAGATTTTAATAATTTCATTAAAGGTAGAGCAGACTTATTGGAGACTTTAGAGCTTAGTCAGGGTGTTTCAAGGTCAAAAATGAAGGAAAACACAGGAAGAACTAAGGCTTTTGTTACAATGTCTAATAACACTGCAAATCAGAATGCTGGGTCAATGTCGACTACACGGCAAGTTTGTCCTATATGCAAAGAGTCCCATCGAATAGTGGATTGTGAGAAATTTTTGAAAATGTCAGTAGACGCGCGGGTGTCAGAAGCTAGGAAACTAAGATTATGCTTTAATTGTCTAAAGCCAAACCACTTCACTAGATTTTGTTCAGGTTCAAGATGTAGGAAATGCCACCTGAAACATCACAGTTCATTGCATGGATATCAGTATCAGCCAAATGAGGAAATATCTAAAATAGAAGAGAATTCGGTTAGTTCGGGGCCTCCGAGGGGGGGAGATAATCGAACTGTTGCTCTATCTACACAAATAAATCATAAAAATTATGAAGTTTTGTTGTCAACGGCATTGGTACAAGTCAGAGGCGGTACAGGTAAATATCATTTAGGTAGGATTTTGCTAGATTCAGCTTCTCAGTCAAATTTCATTACTGGTGCCTTTTGCGAAAAGATAGGAGTATCAAAATCTGATGTTAGGATGTCAGTAGTAGGCATTATTAGTGATATAGAGTCAACAATCAAGCATAGGTGTCATATTCAGGTTAAGTCAATGATAGGGAGATTCCAAACAGATTTATTCTGTTTTGTTATTGATAAAATTACAGATAATATGCCAATACAGAAAGTTAAGACTGATGAGCTTGAAATTCCAGAACATGTGAAATTAGCAGATCCTAAGTTTTTCATTCCATCCAATGTGGATGTTTTGATAGGGGCAGAGATTTTCTGGCATTTGATAGGCCCAGAAAGAATAAACTTAGGACAGCATAAGCCAGTATTACAAGATACTGCTTTAGGATGGATTATATCGGGAAGGATTAATTCACAAGTGAATGAACTGAAAACTATCTGCAATTTCAATGCGAAGGAAGAGGTGAATAAACAACTAGTTAAATTCTGGGAAATCGAGGAGGTGAATGAGAGTGTACAGAGATGGTCTATTGAGGAAAAAGAGTGTGAGGAACATTTTGTTCAAAATACGAAACGTGGGGTAGATGGAAAGTTTGTCGTACGTATTCCATTTAAGCAATCAATACTAAAGTTAGGGGATTCAAGACAAAATGCTCTGAATCGATTCTTTTCCTTGGAAAAACGGTTTGCCAGAAATGAGTTATTTAGAAAAGAATACGTCAATTTCATGGAAGATTATGAAAGATCGGGTCATATGACAAGAGTGGTGGACTCAAAAGCTGATGAGGTAGTGTATTTTCTTCCACATCATGGGGTGGTCAACGAAGCCAGTACTACAACCAAACTTAGAGTAGTATTTGATGGCTCTGCACCATCAAATACAGGCGTTTCATTAAATGAACTTCAATATGTAGGACCGACCATCCAGGATGATCTCGTTACCATTCTATTACGTTTCAGAATGCATAATTTTGTAGTGTGTGCAGATATTGCCAAAATGTATCGGCAGGTGTGGGTAGAACAGGAGGATCGTCCTCTCCAACGTATTGTTTGGAGAAAAGATCCAGAAAGCGAGATTGGTATGTATGATTTGAACACTGTAACATTCGGACTTGCGTCTAGTCCATTTTTGGCAATCAGGTGCCTCAAACAGTTGGCTTTAGAGAACTTGGATAAATATCCAAAGGCTGCTCGAGTTATATCTAATGACTTCTACATGGATGATTTGCTTAGTGGTGGAAGGACCACTCAGGAGGTATCTGAATTGTGTAAGGAGGTGTCAACTATTCTGAGATCTGGCGGGTTTGAACTCAGAAAGTGGCAGTCGAATGATAAAGAACTTTTCGAACAACTACATGGCGAAGAACAATCTGGTATTGTGAATTTTGGGGACAGGTCAGAGGTTAAAACTTTAGGTTTATTTTGGAGTAGGGACCAGGATGTTCTTAGTTATAGCGTAAAACAAATGTATGTTCCGGAGAGAATAACTAAAAGAAGTATTCTCTCAGAGATTTCACAAATTTTTGACCCCTTAGGTCTGATTAGTGCTTGTATTATTATTCCAAAAATAATTTTACAACAAATATGGATATTGAAACTCTCATGGGATGATGATCTTCCGGATGAGTTATGTCGAGAGTGGATGAGATTTAGATCGGAGCTTGCTTTACTAAATGAGTTGAAAATTGAACGACATGTAGTTAGTGGGAATATGAAACGGTTTGATATTCACGGCTTCGCAGATGCGAGTACTAGGGCATATGGTTGTTGTGTTTACTTGCGAAGTATAGATGACCATGATAATATTCAGGTGAAGTTATTGTGTGCCAAAAGTAAAGTTGCACCCATAAAAACTTTGACAGTTCCAAAATTGGAACTCTGTGCAGCCCTTTTATTGGCTCAGCTAATACAAAAAGTGAAATCATCTTTGACTGATGATATTGATCAGATTTTTTTGTGGTCCGATTCAACTGTGGCTCTCAGTTGGATAAAATCTCCACCTTATCAGTTTCAAATCTTTGTTGGCAATAGAGTAGCTCAGATTCAAACTTTATCAGAAGTTGATAATTGGCATTATGTTCGGACTAATGAAAATCCCGCGGATCTAGTCTCAAGAGGAATTTTTCCATCAAACCTGAAAAAGAACATTCTATGGTTTGAAGGACCAAGTTGGTTATGTCAGAAACCTAAAATGTGGCCTGAAGAACCATTTCAAGTATTAGATGATTTGCCTGAGTGTAAAAAATCTGTGAAAACTCTATTGATTACAGAAGTCAATTCATTCTTTCCTTTTGAGAAATTTTCGAATCTTCAAAAAATGAAAAGAGTTGTTGCATATATCATCAGATTTGTAAATAGTTGTAGAGGAAATAAATCAAAGGAAATACATGTTTTTACTGTTGAGGAATTGAGTAGAGCATATAAATTTCTCTTAAAATGGTCTCAAGAAAAATCATTTCCAAATGAGTTGAAAGTACTCAAGCAAAATAAAGTTATTGATAAGGGAAAATTAATAAAGTTGAGTCCATTTTTAGGTGATGATGGATTATTGCGGGTTGGCGGTCGTTTACAATTGTCTAATTTTCCTTATGAAAAGAAACATCCTGTAGTATTAAGCTCAGATCATGATTTAACGAAAGTGATTTTTAGATATGAACATGAAAGACTTTGTCATGCATGGTCCTCAGATGTTACTGTCAGCTATTCGAGAGAATGTATGGCCGCTGCGGGGTAGAAATATGGCTAGAAAAACAGTACATAGTTGTATAAGGTGTTTCAGACTAAATCCGAGACAAGGTTCGCAAATAATGGGGTTTCTACCTGCAGATCGAGTCACACCACAGCCAGCATTTTTTGTAACTGGGGTTGATTACGCAGGACCATTCTTTATCAAAAATCATTCAGGACGCGGTTGTAAAATAACTAAGTGTTATTTGTGTTTATTCGTATGTTTCTCTACACGAGCTATACATTTAGAAATCGTTTCAGATTTAACTACGGAAGCATTCATAGCAACGTTTCGCAGGTTTACTGCTAGACGAGGCAAACCTCAAAGGGTGTATTCGGACAATGGGTCAAATTTTGTTGGGGCAAAGAATGAACTGCTAGAATTGGGTAAATTTTTGCAAGGTCAGGAAGAAGCTTTGAAATGTTTGTTTTCAAATGAAAATGTGTCGTGGCACTTTATCCCATCGCATGCACCTCACTTTGGGGGACTTTGGGAGGCAGGGGTTAAATCTTCCAAATTCCATATGAAGCGTGTATTATTAGATAGCAAACTAACATATGAAGACTTAACAACTGTAGTCACTCAGATAGAATCTGTACTCAATTCCCGTCCTTTGACCCCCCTATCCTCCGACCCAGCCGACATGGAAGTTTTGACACCAGCCCATTTCCTGATTGGGCGGTCTTTGATCTCACTTCCGGATCCAGATATGCGAGATATTAAGGAAAATCGCTTATCTAAATACCAACGGCTACAACAGCTACAACAGTCGTTTTGGCATCGTTGGTCAAAAGACTACGTCGCAGAGCTTCAACAACGGGTCAAGTGGCATACCACCAAAGATGCGCTGCAGCTCAATACCTTGGTGTTGATCAGGGAAGACAATCAACCTCCACTGCGTTGGTTATTAGGCCGAGTGCAGCAGCTCCATCCCGGTCCCGATGGTGTAGCAAGGGTTGCTACCATCAAAACACATAAGGGAGTGATAAAAAGGGCATTATCCAAGCTTTGTCCTTTACCCCTAGAAGAAGAGGCAGGCGCCGCAGTGTCAGAAAGTGTTGAACAATAGTTTTGCTATTAGATTGACATTATTTATGGACTTGTTTCAATCGCACTATATATATCTGTTTCATGTTGAAAGGGACCCTTCCAAGGCGGGGGGCATGTTAATGCATAAACTCAGAATATTATTTGTTGTCGTTCGCCCTTAAGCATTGTAGCATGTAGTCTACCCTTTAGCGTAACGTCAACCCACCCGTTTTCAAAATTCTCCGCCTGGTGTCGGGCATACAGTGGAGAGACGCTTCGAAGACACAGAACGAACCAGACGTGTTGTTGTAATAAACACATGAGTAGTAACGTATTGTTTTATTCAACATAAAAATAACGTATTGTTTTATTCAACAGTGCATGTGAGTGATAAATCCTGAAAGGTAAGAGAATTCACCAAATGAAAGAGAACTTTTTTGGTCCTCTCGAGGCTTGGGCAAGGGCCACAGGTACTTGCAGACAAAGGGCGGATCGAGAAGGGCCGCCTGGCTGAGAAGGAACTCGCTGCAGGAAGCGATAGGATTTGTATTTTCAGTAACTTTACTGAAAGTTTCACTTGATTATCATGACCTTCCCCTATTCTACTTATAAAAGGGTCCATAATTTTTAATTCGAATTTTTCAACATTACATCTGAAACTCTCAGTAATGTTACAGAAAGTTTAGAAATTAACAGGATCTAACATAAAGTTTCACATTCATTTCACTACATTTTTCTATTTAGTTCTTTCAATAGATCGATCCAAGGAGATAACACAGAGGGGGGTCAATTTCACCCTGTATCTCAAAAACGAAGCGGGCTATGAACATTTTGTTTGTGGTATCGTGAGTTTCACAAAAAATAGCCAAAGTTGGCGAAATAAACAGAAAATTTCTATCTTTGAAAATAAAAGTGAGATATCTCGATAGGTAAGGAAATCATAATAAATCGGATACTGTACAGGGTGATTGTTTATATTTTACTCAATATAAAGATATAAGCTCTGTCATCAAAATACACAATGATTTCAAAGGACATCTTTATTGTTGTTATTTCAGTAAATTCACATCGATTCATGCATCTAGATTTTTTGTTGATTCACATTCTCTAGTGTAGTTCACAGGAACGACATCTTTAGTGAGCTCCTGGAACTTGTTCAGTGGACATAATACGTCACATCCTTTCAATTGTTTCACTACGAAGTTCTGATCTGGACCATTTATATGTACTACCTATAAAAAAGGGTTGGGGTTTCAAATGTACTGAAACATAAATAATATACGCGACCACTCTTAGAAATTTACGAAATTACTGAGAAATTTACGAAACTACTAAGTAATTTACGAAATAATTTTCTCCCGCATATTTTATTTCCCTAATATCCCCATATTTTGATCCATGAGCACCGGATTCATTGAAATTAATAAAAACTAACTAACTGCAATATATAGCTTCAGGGTTTTTTGAAACAGGCTTATATTAATCAGATTGGTAATAGTCCAGCCAAAAAACCCCCAAAAATGACCCAACCGAAAGTTTTGAAACTTTGCACATTGATTTATGAGTACCTAGGGATGAATATACCAAAAGTCCTCATGAATATGATGCGAGCTCTAGTGGCAATTAGCGAAAACAGGGCACTTTCTTTGGTTTTTCGTTAATATCTCGAGAACCGTTGCGTTAAAAGCGCAATATGGTTAAAAAACAACCAACGGTTAATTCGGTTTGTGTAGGTTCTCGCCCTTTGCTCCACGTTGGTTTGAAAATTGTTCTCCTTTTCCTGTTACTAATGACATAGTTTCAATTATGAGTGGTCTGGTGGGAGATAACAGAGTAAAATGCTATAATGCTTCTGAAATCGGTATTACAGCAATGACCAAAACAGTAGGACAACCTCTTTTTCTAAAGTTAAGCTATCACTAAAAGATCGAGCATTCCCTTTGGCAACCATGTCAAATTCAATCCGAGTTCATGGTGAAAGTGTGGTGATCAACCCTTTCACGATCTTTCAGAGGATTGCCATCATCATGCAGAGTGCGCGATGAGGATTTGAAGTTCTATACTCACAGCATGAGCTTGCCCCGTACCCATTGCCTTTATTTGGGGAGGCAGGAATGCGGAAGACGAAGAACTACCCTGTATATGATGCCTTTACTCCAATAAAAGAAGATATAAACCTTGTCTATTTTGATATTGTTTTGGATGGAGGCTCACTATACCCAGCAAACATACATTTGCGGTAAACTGAAGGCCCAATACATTGCTCCCATAACTAGATGTTGCGGCAAAATGACTAGCGTTGGTACGGGGCCATCAAGAAAAGGACACTCTGGCCGACGGTTTCCCGACGGGTCAGTTAGCCGGCATTCATTCCATTGATGGGCTTTCAAATCCCCATACTGGCATAGGAACGAAGTATAAAAAATGTCTCGACTTTGGATGATAAGATTGCGATCTGATAAGATCTTCATTTTGGATTGACATTTTCGTGACTTGGTAGCGCTGATGGTCCATTCTCCAGGTGTCCTATCCATTCAGTCGTATCTTTGCAACGGCTATATCGTTGGAATATCCCTATGAGAACATGACCATCTACTCGTATTAGTATCTAAACTCATGTAGTGAGTATCGGTGAGATGTAAACGAATCGAAACAAATAAGAGAATATTTCAAACTATTATATTTTGATGATAATATTTCAACTAATACTTTGATATTCAGAGAGAAATAATCCATTATATCTTTCCATTCGTATAATCTTGGATCCTTCTAGGAAAATATATAGTATGTCTGAAAATCTTGACAATAATTTAAAAACTTTTTCATTATTAATTCAAAGAAAAAAAAGTCATTCAACATAAAAAAGTTTTGCAAGGCCTAAAACCAAAAATGCAAATATCGATTTTTGACAGTCGTATACGAGGTAATTTTGTTCAAGTGTATATAAAGTACCGTTTTTATTTTCGATAATATCGAAAATTATTATTATCATATAAGTAAGTTGACTAGAATTGAAAACTACGGAAATCTACGTTCAAATATCTGATAACATCTATTCACGATGAGAATCATGTATTATTATTTCTTACAATAACTTCTGATCGATTCATATGGCAAACTATTTTATTATTAATTTTGCGGAAAAAAGCGAGGAAAAAAGCATCCTTCATTGAAAGTTCTTCAAAGTCTAAAATCAATAATGCAGTAACCATACCTATACTCATCAATGTTTTGAGTCATATTTAAAAAAATCCCGAATTTCTGTAGATCCTACTCACGACTTCATTGAAATGATCTTATATTCCTATAATAATCCCATATTATGATTATCCTCAAATATGAAAAAAATTCTTGGAACATACATTTCAGGTTTTTAAGGAATTTGAATTCTTTCATCGTTTTTTCTTTCGTATGATTTAGAGAATACTCAATGACCATACAGTGTTATCTGGAACATATATAGGTTGAATGCCCAGCATTGGCCTTTTTAAAGATTGAGTAGACGAAGTTTTTGTATTTCCCTGCAACACCAAAGTCAATAAAACGATGAAGGGCCAATACTTATTTGCTTCACTGGCAAAGTGACTACAAGAATGTGAAAGGCCAACAGATTTTTGCCGCTGAAGTCATTCCCCCAGCAAAGAAAGCATTGGGCCAATAACTTCCCGGTAGTTCATTGTTTGTTGGGTACACAGTAAGGTGGTGTGTGGCCCAAAGATTCTCCAACAATATCAACCATCTGTCATAGTGTTATTATGTAGCCTATGTTATCAAGCATTATGGTGGCAACAGCTGCAATATAAGGTGGTGCTTGCTGGTTATTCAGCCGCCCCATACAGTACAAAGAGTGCCAAACAGATCCGAAGGTACAGAACAAAGAAGTCAAGCAGTTGACAAAAACTTTGGAGAGAACACATCAGTAGTAACACTCAAACAGGATGATTTTCTTTCTAACGAGACGAATAAATCTAGACTGATTTCATTCCTCATAACTACCCTTAACAGCCATGGTACCGTTGTTGGAACAGAACAAGCATCCAGTGATGCTGATACATTGATCGTCCAAGTATAGCACCCCTGAAATCCTTCACTTGTGACAAAGTAGCATCAATAGTCGGTGAAGATGTAGATTTTATTATTCTCCTCGATCATGGCCTGAACTCTGACTGAACAAAACACATTATTTATGAAACCAAGCCATGGCAAAGTGGGAAGGAAATTATATTCAAGCACAGTCAAGCCAGCAATTGCAAACTTTGGGAATGAAGGACCGCATATACTTCCTGTGCATGCAGCAATTTACACTCCATGAGATGGCCTACTATGGGAAAAAAATTCCAGAGCCGGACTTGGGAAATTTATTTCCTTTATAAATGTCACAATTTCGACTTTCTGAATCGTATTTTTGAAAAACTCTCATCAGAATCAGAAAGATCAGGAAAAACACTACAAGTAGTTGTAGCTTTTCATTTTGTACGGCACAATTCGACCAAACCGTTGAAAAATATGTAACAAAATACCGATGAACGTTTCCATGATTTTGCACGGGCATATTGTGGTCGAATCGTTGGATAATAGTTATTTGTTTTACTAGGCAGAAAAGTAGTAGATTGACTGCCGCGGCTGATAGTTCATAGCCGAGCGTAGCGAGCAACAGGAAACAATAAGTACCTACTTTCCTGGCTATTTGCCACGTCGAAATTTGCATTATATCTGTTGAACACCCAAAAAAGAGATCATGAAAAATGAAAATCCTCTGAAATTGAGAATTGACATTATCTCTCGAATCGGATGAAATGATATATGATATGGAAATATAACTTACCAACATGTTCAGTATTGAAATGAGAATCGAAATGTATAGGAGAAGTATAATTGTATAAACTCTGATCTTGATGAGCTTCTGACAATCTTCCATAGACAGCCGAACCAAAAAGAAGTAGAAAATGAAATAGATCAGGATCTCCAGGATGAACGATTTTTTTTCCGAATAAAATGGCGAATGATGTTCCGCCACCAACATTTCAAAATGTTCCTTCACCAAATATTCAAAATTCAAATGTTATTCCATCGAATAAATTTACAATTGAGAAACTAAAAAAAAAGACTCTCATAGACAACCGAACCAAAAAGAAGAAGGAAATGAAGTAGATCAGGATCTTTAGGATGAGCAAGTTTTTTTTCGAATCAAATAGTGAAGGATGTTCCACCACCAACATTTCAAAATGTTCCTTCATCAAATATTCAAATGTTTGTTATTCCTTCGAATGGATTCACAATTAAGAAACAAAAAAAAACTGGCTTTCATAGACAGCTGGACCAAAAAGAAGAAGCAACATGTTCCTTCACCAAATATTCAAAAACTTGTTATATCTTCGAATAAATTTTCAATCAAGAATTTAAAAAGAAGAGGTTTTCACAGACAACCGAACCAAAAAGGATCAGAAGATAAAATAGATCAGGATCTTCAAGATGAGCGATTCTTATTTCGAATCAAACGGTGAATGACGTTTCGCCACCAACATTTCAAAATGTTCATTCACCGAATATTCAAATGTTCGTTATTCCTTCGGATAAATTTGCGATTGAGAAACTAAGAAAAACAGGTTTTCATAGACAGCCGAACCGCAAAGAAGTAGAAAATGAAATAGATCAGGATCTCCAGGATGAGCGATTTTACTTTCGAATCAATTGGTGAATGATGTTCGTTCACCAACATTTCAAAGAGTTCCTTCACCAAATATTCAAATATTTGTTATTCCTTCGAATAAATTTACAATGGAGAAACTAAAAAAGCAGGCTTTCATAGACAGCCGAACCAAAAAGAAGTAGAAAATATAGTAGATCAGGATCTTCAGGATGAGCGATGAGCGTTTTCGTTTTCGAATCAAATGAAGAATGATGTTCCGTCACCAACATTTCAAAATGTTCCTTCACCAAATATTCAAATGTTTGTTATTCCTTCTAATTAATTCACAACTAAAAAACTAAAAATGGACAACCTTCCATAGACAGCCAAACGAAAAAGAAGTAGAACATGAAATAGATCAGGATCTTCAGGATGAGCGATTTTTCTTCGAATAAAATGGAGAAATGATGTTCCGTCACCAACATTTATTCAAAATGTTCCTTCACCAAATATTCAAATGTTTGTTATTCCTTCCAATAAATTCACAACTAAGGAACTGAAAACGGACAATCTACCATAGACAGCTGGACCAGAAAGGAGTAG